TGTCACAGCTCTAACCCTCCTTTCTATTGGCTAGGGACCGGCAAAGGGATCTATTTTAACCATAGAAATGTTTTTATTCAAATTCAATTCAATTCAAATTCAAAAATACTTTATTGATCCCAGAGGGAAATTTGGTAAAATTTGGTATTAACATCCCATCATGGATCAGTCAGCAGCAGCAGTATTCATTTCATGTCTGGATGTGATGGATATCTGTCTGCAGCAGGGAGAGACGCAGCGTGAAGAAGCCTCCTGTCGGTGCTCTGGGACCGGGGAGGAGGAGCTCTCAGCAGCACAATGGAGAAATGTGTTCACAGCAGAGTATCTCAGTCTCAATAACACCAGAAAAAGAGTCGCTAGATTTTCACTAGTCACTTTTCTGAATAACAGTCTCTAGAGGGTCTGAAAAGTCTGTAAATATAGCGAGGAAGTCGCTAAATCAGCACCGCTGTGTTCCACAACGTGCCACCTCTCATGTCAGCGAGCAGCGTGTCGGGTCGATTACGTCACACATTGGAGCGGTCAAATTATCGTATACTATGGGATTTTTGGGATTATTGACCGTACATTGTACAGAGGGCAAAATTATCGTACAAATACGATAATTATCGTACACCTGGCAACACTACACATGCGCGAAGGAACGCGCTGATTGTTAGTCCGAATTAAAGCTAAATGCTAAAGCAAATTTTACAATATTCCATATTCCAGCCATTTTTAGACAATTGTGTTGTAGAAGCCACAAACATTCTTTACTACGTTCATTATGCTAATTAAAAACTCAAGATGGCCACAACAGCTAACTTTAAATGGTCATGATTCAGTTATTTTAAGACTTACTGACCATTTAATTGACACGATTATTGCTAATCCCTTAGCTATTTGCTAACATTATTGCTAATTTTACAGTAGTGTATAATTTAGCCGTTTTTAAACATACGCAGCTGAAAATTAACGTAGTAGTATCAGAAATGTCCTGATGCATCTCAGTAATCCAGGTAAAAAAAATTAAAAAGAAAATAAATTGTATAGGTCTTCTGGACGGGTTCTTCTTTAATGAAACGTTTCGTCTCTCCTCCAAGAGACTTCTTCAGTCTATGAGAGTTTCAGGCAAAATTCAGGCTTTTGAGTCCTGCCTCCAGGTGACTGATACTCACATCACATGGCTATCGTTGACACCTAATTAACACCTATTGTTAACAGGGGGTGGAGTGATACTGCCAAAACACATAACGGCAAAGGCTGGTTCACCCTAAAGATCCGGTGCCCCGGCACAAACAGAGCAATATTGTAAATGATGTTAAGTGCCAGGAGG